GGGGGGGGGTGGGGGGGGGGGGGGGGGGGGCGGGCAACAAGAGTCATGATGTGGGCCCAGGACAAAGCAGCAACACAGCAATAATACAGTTTGTCTGACAAACAATTCACTAAAACAAAAACAAACAAAAAAACCAGGGGGGAGTCAGGTTTGATTTGTCAAAGAAAATAATTAGTTACAGTTAAAACAGGAAGTAGTTTGTATTTTTCTGCCTCGTACTACTGCATACTTCAATTTATATAAGTCAAGTAAAAGTCCAGGCGTTATTTCTTGAGATATTTTACTTTATATTATTCGTCCGCTCACTTTCAGAAACAAAAAAAAAACAAAACCTAAAAACTCACAACCACATTTCAAATACCCTGCGTTACCATTATTTATTCATCTCTACGACCAAACTCTTCTAGGTTTTTCTCTCCTCTGACCAAATATTTTGTTTTGTTTGTTTTGTTTTTTTTAATCTATGATAGATTTATTCTGGTTGTCTACAAAGTAACCCCAGCAGAAGTTAAGTTTTTTCCGAGTGTGAGAAACGTCTCCATTACTTTCGAGTATTCAGTTTAAAAACTTCACAGACACGTTCGAAACTGAAGCCAATCCCGGCAGTCACTGCTAGGAACACCTAAGTATTTGAAGTATTTGAAACACCCCCGCCCTCCCCCTCTCTCACCTCTCTCACAGTAGGGCTCCCCCTCCTCCATGTAAAAAGCCTGGTTCCTGATGGGCATCTTGCAGGCTGCACACTTGAAACACTGCACGTGGTAGGTCATCTTCAGGGCGTGCATGATTTCCTGAAAAAAACAGAGAGAAAACAAAAATCAGGGAGTAACAATGAAGCTCCACAGCTGTAGCCCCAGCAGCGGCAGCTCTTACCCCCGTGATCTTCTTTTTGCACTTGGCACAGTTCGGAGCGTATCTGTTATCGTAGCACTTGGTGCAGAAGACGGCGCCTCTCTCCTCAAAGAAGCCTCCCTCGTCCAGAACGACTTTACACTGCGAGCAGGTGAATTCCTCGGGGTGCCAAGAACGGCCCAGCGCCACCAGGTAACGACCCCTGGAAGACGAGAATCAAAGTCAGCGTTCCTGTTTCAACTCCGAACTGAAGAACTGCACATTTAGAGCCTAAGGCCTAAGGGAGGGACTCTCCCCCCGCCTCCGCCTCCGCCTCACCCCCCATACCCGCCAATTATCTACATCAAATGAAACAGCTTTTTATTTGATGTAGTCCAGCCCTTTAACCACTAGACCGCAGGCCTCTATTTGTCCAATCAGCAAAAAATGTTGAATTCCCGTTAATGTGTATGAAAACATTAAATTGGAAAAAAAATGCATGAAAATATTTTAACAACAATCCTGCAGTACCACCCTGGAGCCTCTAGTGGGTCACAGACTCTTTTGATGACCTCTGACTTAGTAGGAAAGTAGGAAACCATAAAAACACACTGATGTCATAATAAAAAACTTTGTTCATGTTGCGTAGTACTTGTAGTGATATTTTGAGCGCCTTAGTTTTACCAGGTAACTACGATCACAAAGATTTAGGACATCGACGTCTGCGCTAAGTGTATTTTTGAAGAAAAATATTTTTTGTTCCAACAGTTCTTGAGTCACCTAAATGTAGATCAACAACCTGAGTAAGAACTGAGAATTTTCCTTTGTTGCGAAAAACCTGTGACATTTTAATGACTTCGAAAATCCCACAATGCACCTTGTCAACCGTGATAACGGCGACGTCTCCATCTGTTAATTACGCTGACGGACACCACTTTGCTGCAGACGTACGTCGCCCGTCGCCGTGTTTATCAACTGTCCTCAGTGACGTGTCATTTCATTTTCAGAACTCTGAGAGGAGCGCCGTTTAAAGTCATCCATCAAAGCTGTCAGCGTGCGGACGCGAGCTGTCTGACCTGATGATTTTGTTGCAGGCGCCGCACACCGGGGTCCTGCTGCCGTCTTCGGGGGCCTGCTGCGCCGCCTGCAGGATGGAGCTCCGATTCTGCATGGGCGTCGGCTGGACCGGCTGCTGGTGCTGGGTTATAACAGTGCTGGTCTTGTCTGGTCGGAAGCGGGTGGCGAACTCAGGATCGGTGACCCACGGTGGCCGACAGGAGGGGCCTGAGCTGCTGGGCACTGCTGCAGTCTTTGAACCTGAGCCATGACAGTCACAACACACATATTTATCCACAGCAAAGAGAGTGAGAGCGGCTGAAAAATGTAGTATTTTATATACATAATGGCCTTTGTGACAATTTTCCACATCAGGTTGTTGTTGTTGTTGCTGCTGCTGTTGCTCATGTATTGGCACTTAATAAGAATGTGTTAGCACTGGATGCTGTTGCTCTTCTGCTGTAGAGTGGGTGAGGAAACTCACCGTCTGGTTTGTCTGCTGCCTGGGCTCTGGCAGGTGAAGGCGTCGGCTCAAGACTGTGGGGGAAAAACGACCAGTTACAAAAGAGGTGCATATGAACGGTCTCATCACACACACAGACACTGGTTTTTGGATCTTGTGAGCACCTCAGAGAGACACAATTAAAACCCTAGCCTCTTGATTTAACCTTAACTTTCATGTTATGTTTAATCTCAACCCGTATTGTAACCATAATCCTAAATCCAAACTACAATCCTGAATCTGAAAATTATTCGACCAGGGACTTCACTACGTATATATGACTATATATATTTATATTTATACATTTAGCAGACACTTTAATCCAAAGCAGCTTACAGAGGCACATATGCATTCTCAAGTATGCAGTTCTGTTTGGGAATTGAACCAGGGACTGTCTCTCACAAACCGAGTCATATTCACTGTGTTTAAATGTACTCTGAACACACAGGTAAACAGGCACCATGGTTACCATGGTTACTCTCTCCTAGTTGGAAAAATTAGGACGCAGTGATGTCGGAAAAAGAAAAATTGATTCATGTTGCGCAGCACTTGTAGTGATATTTTGCAGAGTTTCTTTCACAAACATTTAGGAAAAAAGGTAAACGAGTCTAACAAATTGCGTCTTACGAAACATTTAAATTACTTTAAAGCCCATAATGCACTTTGTCTACTACGATAACAGCCATGTCTCCATCTATTAATCATACTGATAGACAACAGTCCTTGCTACGGTGCTAATAAACAAGCTAACAACACTGATCTTTTCTGAAGCCCATGCTGCGGTATCTTGACGTTAGCTACACCGGTGCTAACCGCTGAACAATAGAAAATCACACATCAAATTGTTCACTAATGTGAAAAAAAAGTACATGTTCTTACACTGACTGATGTTGCTCACAGAGCTGAGCAACATTATGCTGTCAGATCCACTTCAAGCCCACACACACACACACACACATATGTGCAGCAGCACAGAAACAATTAGTTGCTCTATACTTTTATACGAGCCGTTACCTTTAGAGTCTGCTACTCTGTTCAGAGAAACCTCCGGAGCGTGACTGAAAAACAACATCAGAGCCAAGACGATGAGCTGCGGAAGCTTCCTCTTATGTTGTGGGGGGGGGGAATATATAAATGGCTGCTGCCTCAGGCATCCATCATCTTTACATCATCATCTGTGCCATCTACAACGCACTAATGAAATATGATGAAATAGCTCCTCATTTGCAAACAAACAGGAAGAGGGGGAAATGGATCATCCGACAAAAGGCGTGTTGTTAAAGCGTCGCTGGCGTCAGGTTATCTCTGCCTATCAATTAAATCCCAAACATTAAACACAAAAAGTTACAAAGGCAGCGAGGGTTCAGAGACACAGCTGGGAGCGATCAAACTGAGAAATCTCTGGTGGCGTTTAAACAGAAAAAAAAAATAACACAGTGCTTTGGAAAGAGAGACGACTCTGAGAGGTGACGGGAAAACATGAACCAGGGCTGGTGATTAACTTTTATTAACCTGTCCCTGAAATATTTGTTTCAAAGCTGTGTTTTAGTTTGGTTAATTTGGAGCTTAACCAAAAAAAAAAAAAAGAAGAAAATTCCACCCATTTTAACTACATTGTCTCACTTTTAGCTATTTTTCTGCTAAAATAAATCAAAATGCCATCATTCTGGGCTATCTTTTAGTTATCTATTTTTCAATTTTTTCACACAATCAATTTTAGATGCAGCTTAAGATTATTAACAGATTTTAACAAATTTTAACCACAAATATTTACCATGTTTTGACCAATTTCTATTGTTAATTTTCTTTTGGCTAACTTTTAGCTATTTCTAGACTCGCCTTTCTTTTTAACCTTGGCTAACCTTTTTCGCATGCCAATTTTTTTAATTTCTCGATGAACTCTTTAGTTTCAGTTTTTTTGGGTTTCGCTAATACATATATACAAACATCTAAAAGTACTTTCTCCTTTCATGCAAATAAGCACAAGTATTTTAGATTTTTTTTTTTTTTTTTTAATTCATCAAACGGGCCTGACTGAACACCCTAGCGGGCAGGTTATGGCCCACGGGCTGTATGTTTGAAACCCCAGTTCCAAGGTATTCCAAGAGCATTTAAAAAAAAACCATACAGAAATAGATGGAGGAACAGAAACAGAGAGTGAAATAAAAAGATCTCTGGCAGCCAGTGTCCAACACCGACTGACCAAACTTGTTAAAACCTCTTTGACTCACAGGTCCTGGATCAGCCGCCCTCCACCACATCACACAGCTGCCTCCTGGAGCTCCACCTAACAACCCACAAAACAACATCCTGGTCAGCACCGTGCCCCCCTCCTCCCGCCACACTCCCCCACCGTGCTGCCCTGCGTGACAACGGGCCAGTGACACCGACTTCTCACACACACCTCTTAGAGGTTTGTTTGGCTGCGAGTCACTCTGGCGAAGGTTGCAGCTGCAAATTGGAGAACATCCTCTACAGCTGCTTGTTCCCAGCCGGAGCGAACCCCGGATCATGTTTTTTTTGACATTTTCGAGCGCTTTGAACACTGCATCCCCTCCTCCTGCTCAGCGAGAGGCTCTGTGCTGCAGATGCACAATTCCTGCATCTCATACTGTGCCGACAGGAGGGGTTCTTTTTCCTCCTTTTTTTTTTTTTTTTTTTTGCCTGTGACATATAGTTTTGGACAGCATCCTTTGGAACATTTCCCTGACAGCCCCTGTTCAACCTTTACACATCTGATTTCAAATTCAGCAACGTCTTTTCTTTTCTCCCCCCCCTGCCGCCCTCCCCCAGCTTGGGGGAGTCTTCCTCCCCCGTGGGATGCATCATACTGAGTAATGAAGAAAGCAGAGGTGTTTGTTGGCAGCTCAACAGCCAGAAGAGAAGGAAAGAAGCAGGGTTTGATTTCAGACAGAGCAGGAAACCGATGACACATGTCACCCTACACACTGGGGTGGTAACGACGTCGGCAGGAACCTGGATGTCAGAACAGGCTGCGTGACAGTCTTTGTTTCTCAGTATTTCAATGGCAAATGCAGAGTCATGCTAAGAGAGTGATGGTTAACGTAAATCCTAATTTCTACCTTTAGCTCTCGTGATTAGAATGTATGATTCAGAGTTATTTCCATTTTTGTAGACTATAATAATGTGTATAATAATGTTTTTTTTTTTTTTTTACACTCTCCACAGCTCAGTGTTGTTGATGGTCATTTCTAGAGGCTAGGAAAATTTCCGGATTATCACGGTTATAATGCTTTAATTAATTAACTAAAACAAATTATTTATTTCTGAACGCAGATGCATACAGACAAAGGAGGTTCAAAGGAGAAATGGGATGTTGGTCAGTCAAACCACACAACCAATCAGAGCATTTGGGGCGGGGCTAGGATTGCTGCAACACAGACAAGAACCAAAAACTTAAAGACCTGGTGGAGACAGATCTAGAAACTTTTTTTTTTCTCGTCTCCTCAGTAATTTGAGACAAACTCTCAATATCAAATGTGATCAGATCACCTTGAGAAGCACTTTATCTGTTTAGAGTGTTTACAAATCATTTGTTATATTTGCACATAACAGACTTTTTACTACTTTACTTCTACTTTTGAATTTACCGTTTCATTTTGTGTGGAAATTAAAAGCAAAAAAAAAAAACCTTTAATTTTTCACCAGCACTAGTGTTATTACCCTTGACAAGTATGTTTCTTGTTTGTTTGTAAGCTTTTTTAAAGCTGAGAGCGACCAAAAAACATCCTATTTGTGACCATCATTTCTTAAGAATGAGTTGTTAAAAACAGGTTTCAGAATAACTATTTACTTACTCTATTTTTAAGGAAATAAAATCTTCACAATGCTTGACCTTGCAAACGTTTACCGAGATCAGGTCTGAAAACATTTTAATTACACAAACAGTCATCACTGTTGTGAAATAAAAACCGAGTGATGAACTAACTTTTTCTTATTTTATTTCGTATAAAATACTTTTGGAAATGTAAGTCTAGCAGCAGTCTAAGAAATCATTCATTATTTCTTTTTATCTGTGTTTTTTTTCCCTTCCGTGTTTTTCCTTTGCATGTCTTAGACCTGACCAACCAACAATAAACGTAAACCTTGAACAGTGATGTTGACGCAGATGCCACAATAATTCAGAATTCTAAAGGACGGAAAAGCTTCCTTCTCCACAATTGCTGTCTCTCAGCACAAAAGGTAAATAAACGCTTGGCGACCAAGTGAGTGAAGCAAAATAGGGAAAGGAAAAAAACGTAGGAATACAGAGGTGTACGATTGTGAATTGTCAGAGAAAGGGAAAAAAAAGAAAGAAAGAGAAGCAAAAGGTTTTTTTTTTTCTTCCAGATGTTATATTTAAGAAGGAGCAGAAAGAGTACAGATTTGTCTTCCTTTTGACACTTAATGGTTGAACAAGTCAATGAGATGAGGGGAATCAGAAATGACATTTTGAATAAATAACTCGATAAAATGGAAGCAGGCAGAGAAAGAAAGAAAGAGAGAGAGAGCGAGAGAGAGAGAGAGAGCAAGAGAGAGCAAACGACGATCAAGTCAAAGAATAACAAACAGAGATGCACTCCCCACTGCTGAGGCCCCCTCCCCACCTTCCCACTCATTTAGTGTGAACGGGAGAAACGGGTCCACAGACTACAGTGGTCTACAGTGTTATCAACAATCGTCACGTCAAGAAAATCAGAGAGAGAATTCTTACACTTGGGCTCAGTATGCATGGTTCCACTTTGGCTTCGTCATCTACGCTAAGTTTCTTGTGGTTTTTTTTTTTGTTCTTTTTCCTCATTTGGTTTACTTTTATTTTCCCAATACCTTCCTTTTCACCCCATCTGTATCTCGGAGGTAAATTTATTGGCTGCTACTGGACTGTCAGCTATCGTCGTCGTCGTCTCTGTCCGGTCATCACTGCGGCGTCCCTATCACTAGCAGGCTCTGGCCCGGCTCCGCATCCCATGGCGTCAAGGATGTCGCTCAGGATTTGATATTGAGGGAACGGGCAGACCGGTCGTGGTGCCAGTCC